CACTTCATAAAACTTGGGCTTGTAAGTGGAAATTATCTTGTAAATCAAGGAGGGAAAAGGGCTTGTAAGTGGAAATTATCTTGTAAATTTGTAACGCTCACATTAAGGTACGTAATTTTACTTATGCCCTAATACCTTTAGTTGGATTTCTTTGAAGTTATCTTAACAAATGTGAAGAAAATTCCTTAAAAGTTCGCTAGGGGTAAAATAGTCATTTCACTCTTAATTAGATGAAAGAGTGGGGAGTGAAAAGAAATAGAATAACATGGAGAAGTTAATAAAACTGAGGGTATTTTAGTAATTGACTAAAAGACATAAAGGGAATTTAAGAGAAAGTGCAAGGGCAAAATAGGAATACATGCTTATATTATTTGATATAAGACTTTATTTGAAGAAACCCTAACACACCTTCAGCCCTTGTTTACGTCACCTCTACCCCATTTTCTCTCAATTTTCTTCACTAAATTTCAAAGGAAAATCGTAGGATTTGGTTTAGATTTTTTGAGATTTTCAATCCTAAAGCATCCTAAGGTAAGATTCTAGCAAAAGGAGTGTGATTAAACTTTAAAGTTTTAAATTCTTATGGTTTTTATATGATCTAGGTCCAAGAGGAAGAGATTTAGAGCAAAAAGGAGGTGATCTCACATATTCAAGATAAGTAAACCTAGTTTGAACCTTAATTTGAGCAAGACTTGTGTTGAATGAATTATTGCATATTTGTATATGATGATATGAGAGAATTATTGAATGTTTTTGATGTTTAATGATGTATAAATTCTAGTCATGAGAAGTAGTGTATGGTTATGTGATGATTTGGTGAAATTGTGGAAGATTTAGTGTTGAAATTTTTGTAAGTGTAGGGAATTGTTGAAAATGGACAGGTTTGATGCTATAATTAGTGAGTTTTGGCTCACAATTTGGTTGAATTAGAGAGTTGTGAAAGTGTAGCCAACATTGTAGTTGCATGTGCATATGAAGTGTTTGATGAAAATCCAAAGAGAAATTGCATGCATGAGTTGGCTAAACCCTAATGAAGAAAGGGTTAGAGAAAGGCAAGAATTGAAGTTTGATGATAATCAATGGAATTAGTTGTGTCATGGATTTTTAACATATTACATGTTTTCACAGGGGAGAATGATTAGGAAAGGTTAGGGAGTAAGTGGAGGTAAATAGGTATGGAAAAGCCTTAAAGTAGGCATGTTACCGAGGTTGCCTTGTCAAATCCGTGACCTTTTGAGTAATTTTTGGGCATCTTACCTATCGAACTGGGTTGAGTCCTAAACATAAAAGTTATAGGCCTTTATCTAAGCTTTAAAATAAGGCCAAGAACATAGCAATCTGATGTGTATAACTAAAGATATGCCTTCTTGAATATGACATGTGCAGAATGACTATCTCAAAAGTGCTTCCACTTTATTAGTTTATTTGTAGTCTAATAATCTATGATTGATTCCAAGTATGAAAATGATGCTTAAAGGGGCGTGAAGCATGTTTGAATGAGTGGTCTTTGTGATTATTTAATGATTGTATGAACATATATATTTGATGTAATGAATGACCATGGAGGCTATGTGTAATATGTTCATATATGGAAAGTGTATGTTTTTAAAGAATGAAAGTGTAGAATTTCCATAGCTTGGAAATTCATGTTGAAATGTGTATAGTATCTCTTTCTATAACATGCTATGATATAAGGTTTTTGCGATGGGGAACTCGTGAGTGACAGAGATGCCCACATACACGCCGCAACGAGCGAGCGACATCAGCAGAGAGATACATTATTTGTACAGTCCGTGAGTAGTGTATGTGGATGAGGACTGTACCCAGTAGAGCATACCTACATGCATGCCGCCACGAGCGAGCGGCCACAACAGAGAGATACAGTACTTGTACAGTCCATGAGTAGTGCATGTAGATGAGGACTGTACCCACTCACATGGCCAGGGTTCTAAATCCATGCATCAACCTAGTCCAATCGGCAAACTAGAAAGAAAAAATAAAAGAAAGAGAAACAAAAGAGAAAAGAAAGAGATACAACATAAGAGAAACAGAAACAGAAAAGAATGAAGAATATAATCAAAGAATAAAGTGAGAAAAGGAAAAATCAGAACATGAGTAACGGAGGAAACACAATAGTGCAGTTTGGTTGACTTATTGAGCAATTAGTGCTTACTTTGTTAATTTACTGTTTTGCAGGTACTAGATGATTTATGATCGGGTGGGACGTTAAGAAGTGGAGGAGTTTGGCAACACTGTTCAAGATTACCTTATGTTTACTAAAGTGTATCAATGTTTTGTGTAAATATTTATATGAATTAAAAATTAGAATTTTCGGATTTACATTATGTATATATGTTTGTAAAAGTTATTTAGTGAATTCTATCTTATATTTCTTATAGAATTACTAGCTCTACAGTATATTACAAAATCAAGGAGGGAAAACACAGAATCTGCAGAGCATGAGTGGATTGTGCTGCCACGCTAACACTAGTAAAAATCAATTTAGCCAAATCAATCTTTTTCCCTTGAGCAATTCCATAAAAGAGTTGTGCTCGTTCTGGTTGAACAATTGAATTGTGCATGGAAGGTGACTAGTTGGTCAAAGATATCTTAAACAACAATTTGTAAAGTGGTGTGAGCACACCGGGTTGTAGTGTTAGAGTAGGTGCCCTAGAGCCAATAAGTTATTGTAGAATTGACTCTTTGTAATAGTGTTCATTAATCAATAAAAGACATTTTATTCTATATCATGTAAATCATATTGATATGTATTGATATATGTCCTTAGAATGGTAGAACCGTGACGAGGGTATCAAGTGTTTCAAATCTTGATAGTGAGAACCTTATGATCACATATGGTGGCCATTCTAGAAATGTCCGTAGCCCTAGTATTATTCTAACCAAGGACATAGATAATACGATAAGACTATCATAGTGTTGAATGACCCTATCGAAAGACAGTGACTGATTTCACTTATCAAGGTTGTTTGCCAACAACCTAGTGCAACACATGGGTACTTACTATAGGCAAGTTCACTGGGTTGGCCCATTAGAGGATTCTATATAGATGGTAACTCTAGTGTCTATGGAACAAATCATCTAATGAATAGTGGTGCATGTGATCCTTAGACTTAAGATCACCAGAGCGTCTTGTGCACTGATTGGCGTAGTTTGACACTAGCCCAACGTAGTTCTATTTAGAGTTATCAATAAGATAGTGATTGGCTGCATCGAGAAGTGTATCAAGACTATGGTGGATCGATGGAGGATTCATCACTCTTGGGTACGGGAGAAGTTATCTCACTGCGTAATTCAGTAAATGACAATGACACTAAATTTGTGGCCACAGTAGGATTGAATTGTTGCCCAATCCAATTTATTATTCCGGTCATTGGTCCAGTAACTGAATACAAGCACATTGAGAATGACTGAGGTTGACACTATTTTTGTACCTCAGTTTCGATGAGATAACAGATGATGAATGGATTTTATTGCACGGTAACCATATCGTTGATATGTAGCTGTTTTATTGAATTCGAATCTATTGGGTGGCCATGATGCCTTGCTAGGGGCCAATCTTGGTCTGTGTGTAGAGAGACGATTGATTGGTATCAATCGTGATATCACTAATTGTCGGTATAATGAGGAGCCTACTGGTCACACACTTAGAAGACAGTTTAAGGATAGTAAACTTTGGAAGGGCATATTTGTCTTTTAGATAAAAGGGCATATTGGTAATTTTGCTGTATAATTAAATTTACTAAGGTTGTAGCCTGTGTCCAATTTTGTTATTGGAGTAATTTAGCAAAATTACAAATTTAATTATTGAAGTTAATATTAATATTTAACTAAATAATTAAACAGGGACCTATGTGTGATTCCACCTAAGTTTGGGTTGTAGCTAAACTTTGGGGTGGAATGGATATTTTGCCTTTCTACGTAAGGAAAGGAAAATTAGGTTTGAGAGATAATTCTCTCAATTTTGAGCCATGGGTGATATATTTTGAGAGAAATTTCTCTCTCTTCTCTTCACTTTATCCTTCCAAAATATCATAATCCTTAAAGCCAAGTATTAACTCTAGCAAAGTTAATCCTTGGTCTCTATCATACTGTCTTCGTGTGGACGATGTGAGTTCAATTCTACTCTTAGATCGGTGGCAAAATCTTCAGAGATATTGACAGAGCCTCCAAACACTGGTATAATCTAATCCTTGCTTGGATCTGTATTATTTCAATTTAAGCATGTAAAATACATGTATATACATACATACATGCATACATATATACATACATACATACATACATACATACATTCATACATACATACGATAGGCAATATTTTTGTTTTCCGCTGCCTCTGCAAATCGATTTACTTACATGTAGAACACCAGTCCTAGGCCATTTTGCAACAGGGCCACCAGTGATGACTGTGACAATTTTGTCTAAGTCTAAACTCTTTAAATCAAAGTTCTTCTTGCTCTTCTTTAGACTAAGAGCATCCCTAACAACATTCTCAGTAAACAGGACTAAATGTACTCTAACATAGACTCTATCATTGTGCTTATTTGAATTCGGTTCAACACTGTCCAAGCAAAAATTGGTGTAAAACTCTTGAACAAGAGTTTGGATAGGGGTAGTCAGGCCTGTAATGGTTCCTAACCATTTTCTTGTCTTCATCATGGCATGGAATTCATTAAAATCTTCTAACCTATCATTGGCTTTGCTCACGATTGTCTTCTTGACAATGTGGCTCTTAAATCTAGTTTCAACAGCAGGTAAAACTAATGGAGAGATGTTATTAGTTGAGGGTTCCTCCATAAAAGCCTTTCCTTTCTTCTTAGCCAACTCTACTGGAGTCAGAGGTTTTGAAGGCATGACTTTTCCAAAAGCTTCCTTTGCAATCTAAGAGTGGCTATCGGGGTGTTGTCAGAAGCATTGTCAGATGCAAAAGGAGATTTTCCTGGCAACTTCTCTAGTGAAGCAAAGGTTAACTCTTCTTGTCAGCGTTCTGAGTTTTGGTGATCACTAGAAACAAGGGATGAACTAGGGGTGGTTGAGTGGTTTGATTCATCTGCTTGACTTCCCTCTTCAGAATCTGAATCACTCGCTAGAGGAGTAGGGATTTTCGTCGGCATTTGGCTAAGCAGTTTCGCCTTTTTCAGTGTCAAGTATCCCTTCCTTAGAGATTCTTCCCTTGCTTTTCTCATTGGGTCCTCCAATGCTTTCTTCCTTGAATCCATGAGAAAAAAAATTATGAAGACAATGAACTCAGGCAGCACAAAGAAAAATTTTCAAATGTGAAGATTGACGCACAAACGAATTAGGGCTAACATTTATGGCAGACGTTGATTCTGATGCCCTATAAAGAGTTATTCCAAAATTAGAACTCTATCCTAAGTGAATGCACATTTGCAGTCGTGTGAGCACACAACATCCCAAAAGAACATTAGAATATTTCAAAAGACTAGACTTTATTGAACAACTTTTTGATAACATAAAATTAAAAATGAATGCTTCACATGAATTTTTGAAAGTCAAGGCAGTTAATCTGTGTAAATCATCCTAATAGATCAAATTTTCAATCTTTAAAAGGCACAATAACTCATAGAAAGTTGTTAACATAATGCAATCAAAACAACACTTCCTCAATCACACACAAGTGAGATAAAATTCCAAGAGCTTGTCTTACTGTGTGACAGTGTCCTCAAGGGGGTAAAATGACACATTGGTCAATTTTAAATTTTGCAAGAGAAGCTCCCCCTTCCCTCATGGCCTGCTATATTTAGCATTTTCTTTTTCATCATAGAAAAATAAGATTTTTTCTTTTCATTTTGATTCAAGGGCAAATAACTCTCATAAACGTAAGCAAAATGTAGCTTTCACACTTACAAGAAGGTAGTCCTCTTAATGGTAGATTTTCCAACACATAGGGGTCTCTACAAATAAGAAAATTACTCAAAATAACTTTCACACTTCATGTAAGGTAGCTCTTTCATAATGGTGACAAGAATGGGCAATCAACTCATGATGAGATAAGGTCATGTTATAGAGAGAGTCTTAGTGGACACAACATACCAGAGTTAACACACAAATAAGAGAAAATAAATGATAATTAGAATGTTAGCATAGATCAAGGAGTCTTGACAGACAAAAATAAAAGTAGCATGTTCATGCTTTATTCATTAACAGAAATGAAAAACTATTCAAGTTGAAGTAGTCTAATGGACTTCCTTAAGAAAACAAAAGTACCATAGTCAAATGCTTTTGTAAATAAATCAGCCAATTGAGATTTTGTGTTCACATGAGCAAGTGCAATGATGTTCTCTTCAACTAACTCTCTAATAAAATGATGTCTTATGTTAATGTGCTTAGTCTTATAATGTTGAACTGGATTCTTAGAGATGTTAATGACACTTGTGTTATCACAAAATATTGTCATAAAATCTTGATCAACGCAATAATCATTCAACATTTGCTTTGACCATAAGATTTTAGTGCAACAACTCCCTGCAACAATGTACTCAGCCTCGGTAGTGGATAGGGAGATTGCATTTTGCTTCTTTCTGTACCATCTGACAAGATTGTTTCCAAGATAGAAACATCCACCCGAAGTACTCTTCCTATCATCCAAACTTCCTGCCCAATCCGCATCATTATATCCAACCAAGTAATTGTTAGAGTCAAATGAGTACCAAAGGCCAAATTCACACATACTTGAAACATATTTCATGATTCTTTTTACTGCATTCAAGTGCAACTCAGATGGGTTAGTTTGAAACCTAGCACAAACACCAACACTAGAACAAATATTAGGTCAGCTTGTAGTTAAGTAAAGAAGACTTTCAATCATGCTTCGATACAACTTATTGTTTACCTTTTTACCATGTTCATCTTTGGACAGTTAAGGGTAGCACTCATAGGGGTTCTAGCATGCTTTGCATTCTCAAGACAAAAAAATTTTCAACATGTTTCTAGCATACTTTGATTGTGAAACAAACATTCCATTATCCATTTGTTTAATTTGAAGTCGAAGAAACATATTCAATTCCCTTACCATACTCATCTCAAACTCATTTTTCATCAGGCTAATGAATTGAAGTGCATGTGAATGAGATTTAGAACCAAACACAATATCATCAACGTAAATATGAACACACATGATTTCATTGTTAGCACGCTTGATAAAGAGAGTTTTGTTAGCATTACCTCGTTCGTAGTTATGCTCAAGAAGAAAAGTTGTCAACCTTTCATACCAGGCCTGTGGGGCTTGTTTCAAACCATAAAGAGCTTTCTTCAATCTATGTACATGATCACGTTTGTGGGGTCTTGAAAGCCAATCGATTCTTCAACATAAACTTCTTCGGTGAGCATTCCATTTAAAAAGGCACTTTTGACATCCATTTGGAACAATTTAATCTTGAGGCAACAGGCAACAGAAAGCAGCAAGCGAATTGATTCAAGTCGGGCAACAGGGGTGAAAGTTTCATCAAAGTTGATTCCCTCAACTTGAGTATATCCTTGAGCTACAAGCCTAGCTTTGTTCCTAACAACATTACCAAACTCATCAGTTTTATTTTTGAAAACCCATTTGGTATCTATTATGTTGATTCCCTTTGGTCTTAGTACAAGCATCCACACATCATTCCTTTCGAATTGTTTTAGTTCTTCTTGCGTGGCCTCAATCCAATTTTTATCTTCTAAAGCTTGTTTGACATTTTTTGGCTTTGCAAGATACACATAACAAAGATGGTTAATTTCATTTTGTCTTCTCCTTCTTGTAACCATTACCTCATTTGGATATCCTATCATGGTTGAAGGTGGATGAGCTTTTTGAACCCATGTTGGTTGATCTTTTCTTCTTTGGTTTCTCCTTTGAATGCTTTCATCAGAAAGATCAACAACCAGCTCGATCTCTTCATTTTGCAATGATGAATTAGAAGATGAATCTTTACATGGAGCAGATCCAGTTGCTGTAGCACTGGAAGTAGGTGACAACACATTTGACGAAGTTTTAGGTTCTAGAGATTCAGTAGTGTTCACACCATCTTGTGTGGGCACACGAGGAATATATATGTCTTGAATTTCAAATTCTTGAGAATATTATGAAAAATCTTTTGCATCACTAAACACAACATTAATGGATTCTAATATTTTTTCAGAATGCATATTATAGATCCTGAATGCACGATTATTTGAGGAATAACCAATGAAAACTCCTTCATCACTTCTAGAATCAAACTTACTGAAATTCTCTCTACCATTCAAAATGTAACATTTACATCCAAACACATGAAAGTAAGAGAGATCAGGTTTCTTACCTTTCCACAGCTCATAGGGAGTTTGAACAGTACTTTTTTTGAGATAAACATTGTTGGAAATATGACATGCTGTGTTGATAGCTTTGGCCCAAAGTCTTATAGGAATCTTTTTGGCATTAGCATCACCCTAGCCATCTCTTGAAGCACTTTGTTTTTTCTTCCACAACACCATTTTGTTGTGGTATTTTTGGTGCTGAAAATTCATGGAATATGCCCTATAATTCACAAAAGTTAGCAAAATCAGCATTTTCAAATTCCTTTCCATGGTCACTCCTTATTCTCACTATCTTTGTAGCTTTAGAACTCTTCTCAACAAGCAACCTTTTGGCTAATTTCTGGAATGCATTGAATGAATCAGATATCTCATGCAAAAAATCAACCCAAGCATACCTTGAAAAATCATCAACACAAACAAACACATACTTCTTACCTCTTAAACTCTCGGTTTGCATATGACCCATTAGATTCATATGGAGAAATTCCAAAACACATGAGGTATTGAGATTTGATAAAGCTTTATGAGATATTCTGGTTTGCTTACCATGTTGACATGGACCACACACATTACGGTTTGGAAGTTCAAGCTTTGGTAGTCCTTTAACTACTTCTTTCTTTGAGAGTCTCATCAAGTCCTTGAAGTTCATGTGACCAAATTTCTCATACCATAAGTTTGTAGAATCTGTTTTTGAACTGAAAGTTAGAAAGCAAGTAACAATTGTCATTTGACCTTTTTCCCTCAAGTAGAGAAACACCTTTACAATTCAAAATTTGACATTTGTCCTCTAAGAATTGAACTAAAAAATCTTTGTCACAAATTTGACTAATACTAATCAAATTAGCTTTCAAACCATCAATAAATAAGACATCTTTTAAAATAGGAAAATCAAGTAGCAAAATTAACCATGCCAAAAACCATTGTTAGCATTATGATTTACATTAGCAACAAAATCATGGTTTTTAAAAACTTTCTTAAAAGAAGCAATGAACCTGAAGCATTTGGGTCTAATGTGACATTTCCTGTTACAAAAATGGCAAATAGAAATGGATTTTGATACCTTCATAGCCTATCTCACAGCAGTACCTTTAGCAGGAGTTTCGATGGCCTTCACAATCATGCTTGCACCAGCTTTCGATGTGCTAGCACCAGGACTAAAGCCTAAACCATACCGATCTCCGAAGGATTTTCCTTGACCAAAGACTTCATCAAGCTTAAGAGAACTTGCATTCAACTTATCAATGATGGCCTTAGCCTCAGTTAGTTCAGCAGTAAGAACAACAATCTTTTCAGACAAGGCTTTCTTTTGCTTCAACAAAGTAGCATTCTCAATACCAAGAGATTGCAAACTTTTCATAACCTTTAGCCATTGGTAACACATTTTATCATATGCCTCTTATTGCTCAACATAGTTATCAACAGTGTCATTCGAAACCTTACTCTTACCTTCTTCTTGGTTCACAATGAAGGCAAGAGCATTTTCATCATCACCTAACTCATCATCATCACTTTCATCATCACCTAACTCATCATCATCACTTTCATCATGCTCACTCTCACTCAAAGTGGCAGCCATGGCTTTACCTTTCTTCTTTTTCAGTGTGTTAGCACACTAAGATTGTATGTGCCTGAAGCCCTCGTATTCAAAACACTTGATACCTCTATTTTTTTTTTTTTTTTTTTTTGAAAATTTCTTTGTAAAGGTACCAGGGGTTTGATGGTCATAAGACTTTTCCACAATAGGTTTTTGGCCATAACCACTATTATGAGGCTTTTTCATGTTTTTCTTTAAAAACTATGCAAAATTCTTTTTAAGTAAAACACAATTTTCATCATCCAATGAACTTAAATCACAATCATCAAAAGGACTAGAATCAACCTCATGTTTGAGAGCCAAACCTTTGCTTTGTTTCTATTTTTCCCAGCGTTGCATATTCAACTCATAGGTTTGGAGAGAGCCAATGAGTTCATCAATGTCCATAGCGTCCACATCTCAACATTCTTCAATGGTGGTGACCTTTGACATAAACCTCTGCGGGAAAGAGCAAAACACTTTCCTAACAAGTTCAACATTGTAATATGTTCTTTCCAAAGCAAAACATTCATTAGAAATATCACAAACTCTATCATAAAAGTCAGTTATAGTCTCATCATCATCCATGTTCAGATTTTCGAAACCAGTGACAAGTCTTTTAAGTATATTTCTTTTAACAGTATTAGTTCCCTCATTCTTGACTTGAAGCCTATCCCAAGCATCTTTAGCAAGCTCACAGTTAGCTATAACTTTCATTTGGATCACATTCACAACATTAAAAAGAGCACGAAGAGCTTTAGAGTTATAATTTGCAAGAGTTATCTCATCAACAGTCCAACTAGCAATAGGTTTTGGTCCAGACATTTCATTTTCAACAATAACCAAGGCTGTCCATCCATTCACAATTGTGAACCAAACTCTTTCATTTATAGACTTAAGGAAAGCACGCATCCTAGGTCTCCATGTATAATAGTTAGGTTCTTCTAATAGAGGTGGTCTATGAGCAAATCCTTATTTAGTAAAGAAACTCATGATGAAAAACAAACAGATATGTGCTAACATAATAAATGGAAGTGCACACACAGACACACAATAGATCTAAAATGAAAACGTAACACAGGTCATATTTCGTCTAACTACTAGACCACTCAAATGCATATAAAAACAATCAAAATGTGTAAGGATAAACTGAAGCAACTTATCAGGACACGCTATGATACCACTTGTTGGGGAGAGAGTTGGAGTTTTAACTCATGTTAGAGTGTGGTTACCCATTTTAAGTGCAGTGGAACGATTGATTACCAAGTAGATTAAACATTTCCAAGTTAATCACATCAAACACAAGTGCGGAAAATAAAGAACACAACCATATACATGGTTAAGCTAAATCCACTTTTAGCCTACATCTATGGGACCTTGTCCAGATCAAAGCAATCCTCTAAGTTAAAAACACATTACAAGATATAGTTCAAAGCTGATGTAAGTTACAGTAAAAAGAACTCCCTGTTCAACTTTACACTTAGCACCACACTTTGAATCCTTAACATGTATCAACTCCTTTGGATCTTCTTCACATCGGGAACACACCCGTGAACATCTTGTAAATCAGTAAGCTTCAAGCACTGATGCAATGCACCAACATCAGCAAAGGAACCACTTTCCAAGAGCCATCAATAATGTGTTTGATATGGTGAAGTTTTGGCACAAAATATGGAAATGAACCTTGAACCTTAAGAGAGAAAAATACTCTAAAAGAATTAGAGTACAATGAAGCAAAATGTCAAAAGGTTAGATTCATACACGCAAGAAGGGTTATTATATAATGAAGGATTTCTTGTTCAACAATATAGTGCCAAGTTTGCCAACAAGGGACTAACCAATGTTTGTCCAAATAAAGAGCTTTCCTTCTTTTGGTTTGGACCACAAAACACATTGGGAAAAGAACTTTATTCCCCAGGACCACTTAAAGATGTTATGACACATGTAAAAAGATCCTAAAAAGTGAGAGACAAAGATAAACAATATCTTTTTCACTTTT